AGTTTGATTTTCAACCTTCAGGTTGACTTTATATCGGTTACTATATGATCTACTAATGACATCAACTGAGTGTGTTATTTTAGACGTGTACGTATTGGTAGTAAAAATTCAAGAAATTTTTTTTTTCTTAACCGCAATATATGAAAATTATTTCTATCTTTGAAGTTAAGACTGTTATAAAGATATGGAAATCAAGGAACAATTGAATGTTGACTACTTATTTGATAAAAAAAAATTATCTCGCTCAAAAAATACAGAGAATTGTTCTTCTCATAAGGTTTTAGCTTAAGAAATCAAATGATAATGAGGTTATGATCTTATTCGGAAGCTTATTTTGGAATAAAACTGCAGTTATAACCCAAGGCTATTTAAGTCGTTCTACAAAGCCGGCAAGCGCAGAAAAAATTTACTTTGTGCTATCATGAGAGATTTCAATATACAACAGTATCATAAACCTACATATTACACTACTCAACAAAACTGAAAGAAAAATTTTCGACTGATGTGCTAAGAGGTCTGTGTGGGTATTTGAGTTGTCTTGATTACGAATTTGAGTTCACAAATTTTCCATCACTTATAATTTTCTTTGTCATTTGAGTAAATGGTGGTGGTTTCAACGCTATTACACCTTGACTACAACACAAAAAATCCTACGAGTTATGAAATTCTTAGTATCATTTACGGCTTTAGCAACCCAAAATTAACAAGAAACAGCCTCTAACATCACAGTCATAAAATGACTATAAACTAGTATTATCATCGGTGTAACACACTATTTCAAACAGTATTTTTCATATGATCTTTACATAATTCAATGCTTAAAATACTAATTCGACGATAATTACCAGACTTTTGTGCTTGTGAAGGATTGTGGACCAGTGAAAAAAATGTGTACTTAAGACAACTGTTTTAGGTACCAAAATACCAAACTTCAACATTTTCCTCACAGAAAGAGATCAAAATATACGCAATCCTAACAGTTGACTTTAGTTACCTCCTTATTTTCAAAAATTTCCAAAAAATACATTACAACACTAAACATCTAGCCCTCCGATTTCAAAAGTGACAATCAAATCAAATTCTTACAAGTCAAGTATGAGAGGAAGATTAATGTGGCGTGTGTCAGGTGTAGTTAATATTTGTTATTTACCCAATACAATACCAATGCGTTTAGAATGCTTCCGTCGCTTGATATTTATTTCTATAGAAATAATTTGTCAAATAATTTATTTACGAGCACGCGCGATTTCAATAAAACCTTATACCAGAAACAACACTTGAATAAACAAAGATCGTAGTGTAGTTAAAGCAGATTTTAGGTAGCTGGAGTAGGGTATATTTATATGAGTTGTTAACGACTGTTCTGAATATATTAAAAAAAGTATAATTATTCAAACTTGCCACAATTATAATATATTATAATATATATCAGCTGATTGTAGTTATACTTATTCAAATAGAACAAATTTATGTGGGAAAGCTGAAATAACACAATAACAGCACGATTGCCATTCTACTTTATTTGAATAATATTTTAATTACATAATCTTTTTTATAAAGTTGCTGCCTAGCTTCAGAAATATAATCGCTATAAAGCTTTTTAAATCTGTCTCGTTTCCTGCACATACTATACGGAAATATTTCATAACTGCATTAATTACATTCAACGTTTGCACGTGTGGCAACTACATACAAACATAAATTAATTTAGAGCTGCTCAAATATTTTTAATTCGTTAAGAGAAATTATTATTATTAAGCACTAATAAGTCTACCCCTCAGATATGTGTTTGTGTTTTAATAATTTATTAATTTGCCCAAATTTAGTTTTTTAACAAGGAAACCCGGTAACTTCGGCAGCACCGAAGCGAAAAATACCTTTCACAAGTGCATAAAAGGGTATAAAAAGATAATTTTCTTGATTTTGATCGATCAGTTTAAATATCATTTATCCAACATCTTTGTTCGACTTAAATTATTTATTCGGAGATTATAGTTGTAGTGATGCCTTGAGCAATAAACTGTGCCTAATTTCGTGAAGCTATCTCGACAAATAAATATGGTTTGCATACAAGGTCTTGATTTTGACGTCAGCTTGTTTGGAAGCTATATGCTATAGTCATCCGATCTAAAAAATTTCCTCGAAGGTTGTACCGTTGTATTGAACAATAATAACATAAAATTTTGTGAAGACACCCCGTCAAATACAATACCTCGTCACTTTAGTTGAATTAAAATTTTGAAAACTTGTCATCATCTTTGAAAATATATTTTCAATAATAAGCTTCCACTTCAAAGCTCACAAAAAAAGATAACTTTTGTTTCAAATTTTTTTTCGGCATTATCGAATATGCATTTTATCTTAACATCAATATTGAAGAAATTAGCATATTGAAATTTCTACTAAAAACGATTTTAATATTTAATCGAAACTATAATTAAACTGTGAAACACTCAACGATATTTACCAATATTTTACCTGGAAATAATTGATTACTTATAAAAACTTATTAAAGGAGAAAACTCTTTTACTCTTAAAAAGCTCCTAAATAGCGTAAGCTTTAAAACCCCTCAGCAGTAATTTAAAAACCCTGAGAAGAACCGAAATATAAAACGTAAAAAATGCATATAATTATTCTCTGAAAAAGCTTTGTCGAAGCTTTAGAGACCGCCAACAGCTTTTTTAGCGCTTTAGAAGCGTCTAACGGAAATTTAAATACCATTAAGAACAACTAAACCAGAAAAGCGGTAAAAAAAAAATGCATTCGAAGTCAACTCCTACGACGCGCAGCAAAGATTCTGCTGACCTAAAAAGCAATTTTTCGCCATAAAACTTTGGTGTATGCCTTGATGCACCACTGACAACGCGTTGACATATTTGTTGAGTAAAAAATTGCCAGCCTACCGCTTATCTATTGGAGGCACTCGACTGGAATTGCATTGAAACAACAAAATGCAAAAACTTTATGTGCGGACAACGCGACTCAGCTTGGGCCCACAAAAATACACACATGTACACACACAAGCAGCGCGAAAATCAGTGGTCGTACGGGGCATCCGATTAAACACATTCCCTTGTATGACGCCTATAAATCATACTACCGGCGAATAATTTCTCATAGACACATAAATCGACAAAAACAAAAACAAAAACGAAAAAAATGTTCAAAGCTGTGTTGGTGGCGAAAAGGTAAAAATATAGCAAGCTTTGTGCGCATGTATGTGTGTAGCGCCGCAAAAGGGATTTTATAAAAAAAGGGGCTAAAAAAGTAGTGTCAAATCGTTTGTGTGCCCTTTGCCGCTTAGCGTTATTTTTTCGCAAATTGTTAGTAGCGCGCTGCAAGATATTAGAAGGCACATACTGACAGACTTCTTTATATGTGCATCAAAAAGTGTGCGAGGGAACGCGCACCGCTTCGGCCGCTTTGCCACATAAATCACAGTCCACAAGCAACAACACGCGCCCCACTTACCGGCTACGTGATGCGCTGCTAATACTCGGCAGTATCATCAAGTGATAAAGTAAAAGAAGAAGAATAAAGCAAAAAAAAATTTAAGAGAAAACAGCAAAAAGGCTAACAGGCGCAAGTCACAAAGCAACAACTACACCATCAAGCGCTTACATAAAAAACTAGTAAAGCAGAAATTCGCGATAGAAAAACATAATTTGACAGTTTATAGCAATTGCCCTCAGTCACTTTTTACAAGCAGCTCTTTTTTATTACAACAACAGCGTCTGCTTGCCATTCAGCAGTCTCATATTATGCCTAATTTATTGGCTTTCTGCTGAGGTAAAAGCCGGCCCTTATACCCTTTTCTAAATTTTCTGACATTCAGCGACATGTGTTGCCAAATGTTCTGTTTATGTTATTTTATTTATTATTTCTCCAGATTTTTTTTTTTTTGGCTTTTGTTTCTACTTGCTTTGCTTATCATTACTTCAGCTGTCCATGTTTATTCACAAATGACTGCTGTCGCCTTTTGGCATTTTCAAATTGTTCTTGCCTCTGTTTTATTTGCATTTCGCATGACATCGTTTATTTATGTCTCTGACATTTGCTTTGCATTGTCGCATTAGCGTAAAAAAATATTATTGGCATTTTATTGAAAATCATAAATTTACAAGAGAAACGTTTTACGGCAAACAATCAAACATACATATGTATATCAATACTACCGCATTGAGCCGCTGGCACAAGTGTGCTTTATACAGTTGTTGTTGCAGAGCGATGCACGAGTTTGCATACATATGTATTTGTGAGCTTTGTAGTACTTGAATTTCGAAGTCGGAAGTCCTAATATCGTTTAGGTTGCTGATGACTTTCCGTAAAATATTACTCGGCGCATTTGTTCAGGAATAAAAATTTAATAGCAAACTACTTTTTTTCTAATTTTCCATTTTTGAATAAAAAAATAAATTCCAAAAATTAAAAATTGAACTTTGTGGCATTAATTGAAAAATTTAATACAAATTAAGTCAGATTAAGGAAATGTTTGGCCGAAAATTAAAAAAAGGGCATGGTGCCGCTCACTACACAACTTGTCTATGAGAGAACAACACTCTCTAGAAGCAACAGAGTTGATAACATATATTCTATTTTGTAACCTTCAAAAGGCACAGCTATCATATAGTTGGTTCGGTAGATACATCATTTTGACTGACGAAAGTTTTATACGACAGTACAAAAGTAGAGAAAACTGAACACCCATTGCAAACCTGCATGAACTACACTAAACATTGCCTTTAGAGTACTAGAAACGTTTCAATTTTCAATAGTCGAATACACAACTCTCCGGAAAACCATAATTTTTCATCTTCTTCCGAAGATTTTAATACATATTCAAGCAGGATGAATTGAATTCTCTTGCAAAAAAATCAAGTCCAAAAATTATAAGCGATAAATAGATTTGATTACCGGTTTTTGTGTACACCATATTTAACCGTTCGTCATTAGTTGATTATTAGCATTCAAACTCTTTATAGGCGAAAACGTCCTCATATTTTTTTAACAACAGCTTGAAAAGCGCAATTTCAATTTATTATACATATTTATCTTGATTCTAATGGCATTATTACAATCTCCAATAAAAAATTTAGGTGGGTCTTGTGCTTGTGCATTCTTCTGGACACCGGCTGGTAGTCTCACTATTTTCATCCTCATTTGACTGCAATTCTAGATATGTAAATATATGTCTCTTTCAACAGGAATTACTGAAATATTACCCAATCGTTCAATATTTCCCAAGCCAATGTGAATTCAAATAATGTTTCTAATAGAAAGAATGCAAACATTTCAATTTAGAATGTCAAGTGAAGCCAATGACGTACAAATAATTGTTTTTTTTTAAGATTTCATAAATTTTTTTCCATTTCCAAATTTCCAAATTATACCGAATTACAGTAAATATATCGTCGGATACTGACGATTAACGCAAATGAGCAGCATTATATATTATTGCTGAGTAATAACGCCCAGTTTTTTATATATCATATAACTTTGACTTAATAACCGATTTACAGAAAATGTAGTTGGCTACCCGATAGGTGGTGCTGCGGTATTTGTAAAAAAAAGTTTTTTCAACTTGTTTAATTTCATACTTGTATCTGACATTATTCATATGTAACAAAATACTCGGATCATATTTTTCTACAATAAACGAGACTGGGGTCGAAGGACCATACAAATATTTCACCATAGGAGTGATAGACTAACAGCCTAATGCATCGTTTCATTATGTTAAATTCAATGACAATAAATTGACAAAATTAGTGTTTCGAAACTCAAATCATAAAGTGCTACCAATTTCAAGTATGATTAAATGTCACACAAATATTTCTTTGACAAGAGACATTTTACTTTTATTGGGCCTGATGTACGCCGTACTTTAATTTGATACTTAAAGTAAAGTTTATAGAAATTTCAATTCCAACGCCATTTGGTGAAGCATATCGTACTTAATTACTTGTGTAAAATTTTTTTGATATTTTATTACAGATGATTGAACTATAAATATAATATAATGCGTGGTCCCGACTTTGCTTGGAAATATTTCGGAAAATGGATGGGAAAACAAAAATAAAAGCAAACTTCGGTTCCCAAATACACAAGTTTCCATACAAGAACTTGATTTTGAGCAGACAGTTTTGAAATTAACTCAGCTCGTCATGCTAATCATTTTTTAGGCTTCCGACATTTTCTTTTTTGTGTTAAAAACTGCGTGGCAAACATATATACCCTGTTCTGGGTATAATAATTGAAATAAATGGTGGACAACACGTGTCTGACGTGATTGACGTGAATTACTCTGCTTTGTATTACATTGTTTTCTGGACTTTAAAAGTCTATTAACTAAGCATCCACAAATGTTCTCTATGGTATTTATGGTAGATCTGGCGAATATAATGCATATTCTAGGATGTCAACTTTTTAACTCTGAATACACGTTTCGACATAAGCTGACTTGTTACCGAAATGGGGCAAAATCTGTGCATAAATTTGTCAACTAATGAATGCTATTTCACAATATAGTTCTTTATTTCCAGTTAGAATTCTTAAAACTCATTCCTACACACATACATTTTTATTGGACTGCAACGTTAAAATAATATTTTTGCGCTCTTTTTACATTCTAATGAATATGCCTGGTGTGGTAAGTGATAGCGCGGGCGTTGAAAAGTTTTGCTTAAACCCAAAGCGAAGCACTTCAAACAAAGTGAAAACGACAACATTGACGCTATGATATGTGTGAACATTTTAATTCAATTGAACGCACGCAGAAGAGCCACTCTGTTGCGATTGGAATACGCCAAAATGGCCATCGCGGAGGCAGTCATGCATTTTAAATGCGCACGCCACGCAGAGAAAACTCGACTGTATTTTTTGTTAGGTGAATAGGTGAATACAGTTCGAATTGCAGTTTTGCTAGGTTTTTTAACAAGTTTTTTTTTTATGAAAAGTGTTATATATATAATATATACATACATATATAACTAAGTGTTTGTGGTTTTATTATTTCGCACCTTTTTGACTTATCGAATTTATTTTATAGCGCATAGCAAATACAACCCCGTGGTGTAGCGTGCTGCATTCATATTTTACATGTGTTTGCAAACTTCTTTTGCACAAGCAATGTTCTAATTTTTTTTACAATATTTTTCTATACAGTTTTGACACCAGCATTGCACTTTGAAATTCAGTTAAGTAGCCATGTTGCAAGTGCACTAACGCCACCACACACACAGGAATAAATAATCTTAATACCACTAAAGCGCGCACTTATACACACCAACCAACAACAACGTGAAAAACTGCACTTGCAACTGTGTGACTTTTTTCGCACATTGCACACTAGTATGCACGCGCCCCGAGATATATATTTATATATGTGCACACACTCACACATACGTGGAATATAGAGCAAATGGTTAGAAGCGCATGTGTGAATGAATAGAAGTGGTGCGTGCTCGGCATAAAAGTTCATATTTACGCATCACTGCGTTGAAAGAGAAGAACTTCGCATAGAGCAACAACAACAACAACAAGAACAATGTCACGAACAAAATATGTGCACTAATACACTTACAAACTGTACGCATTCCAGCGAACGCCATGGGCATTGCCTTGAGCTTAGCAACAAAAAAACAAAAACAACGGGGGATCACAAGCATTTGGCGGCCACAGCATGAACTGATTGTAAGAGTGACCTGCAGGAATACACCAAGCTGAATTGAGCAACAATTTTAAGTAAGAAAAGGAAGGCATATAAATAAAATTATTTAATAAAAAAAAAATTTTAAATATGATACCCTAAGCCTAATTGTAGGCTTATATAAAAATATATATTTTTCTCTTACTGCAGTAGCCTACTTTTAGGGTAAGTTGTGAAATATGTTATATGATATACACAGGTTGAAGAAGAATGAACCGTCCGGTTGTTACAACTGCAAAAATAATTTTCATCGTTCTTGGTCGAAGTTTTAGGTCCCAAAAGAAAAAAATTTGACAAAAATTTCATTAGAATCTACCTTGAGACATAGTCAGACTTCTTTTTTCTGCAATAAATTTTTTAAATCTTCAAATATTTTTTTAAAAGTGGAAAAATATATGGTGAAGCACATAACTTTCAGTATTTACATCATCTTCACCGTCATTTTGCAGCACCGGGGAAGTAAAGAGCCCTTGGTAGTCCAACCAAAAATCTAAAGTAATTTTCATCACTATTACGGACATAGCACCATCGTATAACAGCTAAACCTAAATAAATGTGACTATATTCTCCCAAGGTTAGATTTCAATAGTCACTTTCGGGTGTGGTTACTCTCTAGACGTGAGTGAAGAAGAGGTTTAGTGAGAGAGGAGGATACTACCTCTAACAATACCGACGGCTCCAAAATGGACTGCGGTGTAGGGACGGTGGTATACCCCATAGATCTAGACATCTCTATCTCTATCTCTTATCCGGCAACCAAACTCAGCCATCATATTTCAAAGGAAAGAACTAAGTATAGAGAAGACCTATGGAGTTTTATTAAATAACTACGGCAGGATTGAGAAAGCTTAGATATGCACAGATATCCATGCGGCATTGCTGTCCTTGTCGACACCACAGATTAACTCCAGCGTAGTCAACAATTGCAGGAAAGCTTTACTCACTAGCAAGTCAACTTCATTGGTCCAAAATTTTGGTTCCCGAAAACAGATATATTTTCGGCAACTAAAAAGCAGCCGAGTTGACCAAGCTAGGAACTACTTTAGACGAATCCGAGGCGGAGTTAATACTATGGCAGCAGCGACCGATCAAAAGAGAGCGTTGTACGCATTTTGAACAAATAGCTTAGAATAGACGGAAATCTATATTCAACTGCAAGATACCGAAGTAGATATGGCCCAAGTATGACATGATTAGAACTAAGAACTTATTGCATAGGTCCAGGAATAGTATTTACCGACTCACAGCTAGTATAACAGGGAACTTGCCTTTTGGAGAGCATGCGCTAAAAATGGGACTGTTACAGAGTACTTGGGGCCTATTAGGAACCAAACCTTGAATAGCTGTCGACAAAAAAAATCAGCTATATAAGTAGTTTCATTGAGAACATCAAATCGCTTGAGCGCAACGATAAAATCAGATGGCTAGATTGTAAAGGTTTTACGATGGAAGGAGGCATCCAGTGCCAATTGAGCCCACTGTTAGAGTCCTTTATTATGTTTATAATACTGTTAATATTATCGACTGGTAAAAAGCAAAAAAAGTTATATATTTAAACAACCTTAGATGTAGTTTCTAAAACATTAAAGAGTCTTGTAGAGCTCTTATACATAATTTTCATCTTACTTAATCCTAAATTAAATAAAATTCCATATTCGAAGTTAACTCATAATAGCGACACGGAAACATTACCACAAAAGCTAACAAAACCTTCTAAGAAGGGCCTAACATATAACTGAATACTAAAAATTATTCCGACAGGGTAAGTAGCATACATTGCACCCCATACACATTGACACACAAACGGTATATGCGATGCAGTGAAAATAGTGTGCCGCATTGCCACAAATGTGTTTTCAAACTTTGTTCAAGTGTATGAGCTTTAAGATAAAAATGTTTATAACTTTTTCTACTATCGCAAATTATTTCATAAATATTGGTGTAAGTGTGTATGGTGAACGTGTTCATACGAGAAAAGCACTGGCAAAACAATGCGGAGCATGAGCATGAAACTAGTGATCTACGAACGAATTCGGGGTAATGAGTAGTTGGTGGTCTTCTTTCTCCAAAAGTTATATAGTTAAAAATATATGGACACTTATAAAAATACCATTATTTCACTGCTGGTTTAACGACTTCTATGATTCTTAGTTAAATTTGAACTAGTCCCACTACTAGTTTCGTATTGAGAACAAAGCTAGAGCCTTTACATAGATGAAATGAGTGTTAGTCTAACTCCTGCTGGTAATATGTATGAAAGTGTTCGTGCATGCATTCGCGTTTAAATGTTGAATGCACTCTGAAGTTTATAGAAAAGAGTTTGAAGCTCATTTGTTGGAACTAAAAAATTTTTTAATATTTTCCAGACATTTGGTGCTCAGTGAACTCATATATGCTATTTTAGTGAAGCCGAAGTGCATGAAATTTCCATACATAACATATATGTACATAGATACATATTTGCTTTCGATTAGGATATAAATAAAAATGCAAAGAATCGTATCTCTGCTGAGCTCTATGTATGAGAAGCAAAGAGAGCTTAATGAACATATAGGCGGGCTTTGGAATCCATAACATAGAATACTTTGGAACACGTGCGGCAGGTAGGTAATAGTGGAGTTGGTATTCATATCATATACATAGTTCGAAGCCAGTCGTAGACTATATTACCCACAACTTGACCCATCAAGGGAGATCCCAATCTCCTCCTTATTGCGAAATTGATTGGGTATACAGGCGATCAAATGAACCGATCAGTCTCCTTTGTAGTTCGACAGCCAAGTTTCTAAGCGAAGTGATCAACAAATATACTATATACTATTTTATAACCCTCCAATTGAGAAAAGGTATCTAGATTAGCTTCCTCATGCGATGCCTCAAACACTGAGGAACTATTTCCTGTATATACAGATGGACGGACAGACAGATGAACATGCTAACTCAGCTCGTCGAGCTGATCATTTATATGATATACTTTATAGGGTCTCCGACGTTTCCTTCTGGGTGCGGGTAATTTAATATGGGCAATCTTACATTAATTAAATATAAAAATGTAGGACGGAAAGATATAGTTTTCATAAACTATTTTCAAAAAAAAACAAAAATCGTGAAAATCTCGTTTCTTATTCAGAATCATAGGTGAAATCAACTCTTCCGACTTTAAATGCTTAATTGTATTATTTAAAGTATGGACAACAATTTGAGCGATGTGAAAAATATACCGCAGCGGAGAGAAAATACTTACATACAAGTATTAATATACATTGAGATAGTGAGCATAACGAGGGCTTCGACGGAAAGTTGATGGAATTTAAGTTCCTTTACAAAACTTTAAATAAATTCGGGAGAGAAATACCAAAGCAAAAGATGACAGAAAATAAACTGCACTAACTCCTATGTAGCACATGATCCGCTGCAACAACGACTGCACGAAAGCAGACGAAGCTCTATACCAAAAACCTGAAGATAATGACCTCTTTCATGTAAGCTTTTACACTATGTCAATTGCATAGTTCATAAAACAAAAGCGACATAGTGATTTATCCCACTAACATTGAAAACAAAACGCATACCTTTGACCCTACCTAGTAACATGCACTTATATTTTACTTACATTCATGTATTCATATATCTACTTGAACTAAATGGAGGTGTATTCACATTACACCGGTGGAACGGATAAAAAAACCGGTCAGACGCGCTAAATCAATGTCAGCAAGGTGCAATGGTAATAATTTTTACGCGTTTATAAATCATAAATGCTCTATTAACAAGAAACGTTGCACTGGACTGGACTAAAGTGGATTACACGGGAGAGCCGGGAAGGCGAAGAAGAGTAATCAAGAAACAGCGATTTTCTATCTACTTCATACCGGCAACATATGTACCAGTGTGTACATTGTATATATATATATATATATATATATATATATATAGCTGTATGTATATACTACCAGCTAAGGTACTAGATTACATTGTTTAAAGCATAAATGATAAGTGAATGGATAAAAAAAGAATTGCAATAAAAATACTAGTTCATGAACTGAAAGTGCAAGAGAATACTCCACATTGTACTTATGTATCTTTAGAATGTATGAATTCTACATGAAAGAACTGGAAGACGCATAAACACACACTTACTTATAAAAATAAATCATGGAAGAGCACGTACATAAATTCGTAGATGTCTACACCCAGAAGTGCAAGAATATTACGAGTGAAGAAACAGTGTAGTAGTGAAGAACTGAACTTTTTCACAATTTTATGGCCGAAGCCTTAAACAAAAAAGCTTCATAAGAACATTGGCTTTTAGAATTTCATTATATAGTGTACAGATGTATAAAATCGGATACATAACTCTTTCACTATACTACGATTAAGTTTCTTTTCATTACTTTATTATGCAAAAGCCAAGTAATGTTAAAAGACGCTTTTGCATATCAGAAATTCTGCTTGAATCCCCCAAAAAGAAGTTGTTCTTACATCGCATTGTGACGGGTGATGAAAAATGGCCAAGCCGAATACCCATGACGCCGAGATAATGTTCTGTATTTGTTGGGATCAGAAGTGTATTCTGTATTATGAGGTGCTAAAACTGGGTTTTTGGTCACCAAGCCGGCACAGTTCTTTTGGGATGAAATCATGAATCAAAAAATGGGTTTAGTACGTCCCCCAGTGCGCCTTATATCATATAAGTATATACTTGTAGTATATGAGTGGCTTTCTTAGAGCAAGAAATCTAGCGAACATATTATCTAGGACATGCTGTTGTTTGGTGCCAAAAATAAGCGAAATGGGACCATGAATTACTTCAATCCCCTTATATTACAAATATTTGCTTCCGTTTATTTAATTGACTCTATACCGAATAAATCGCTTAATATCAACACTAGTTTTTCACAATCAATGAATATTATATTTCATACTTCAAAATCTTATTTAACGGTATTTATTAAGTTTTAAGGTATTCCGTCTACATTTTCGTCTAAAACTATACCCACAGTTACCACATCTGCCTGGTTTTTTACGTCTGTATCACTCTTGCTAATTGACCACAAAGTGCTGGTATGTTGTAAAAGTTTTCTAGAATCTGTGCTGTCCTCAGCTATTCTCTTTTGAATTCGTGGTTATGGAGCTTAGATAAATATATACATATACTTACATATATAAACAGTGGCAACACTGTACATTAACGGAATTTAATTAGGTTAAAGACATTTTTGGTTTACTGGCGTACAAATGGTAAATAGATGTACGATTAAAAAAGAGTAAAAAACATAGATATAATTATTTTCAAAAAGTAAATAATCTAGCTTTAGTATGACAGAAGAAGGAGAACAAGTGCTACTTTGAACTGAGTCAAAACTAATATTAGCTATCTTTCATCGTAAATGCAAAGTCGCCAGCTCTGCAAATAGCACTAATATAAGCAAATCTTTACTATATTTTGAAAACCAAAGAGAAGAGGACACGATAATTCGTATATGTGTTGAAAGACACAGACAAACCAGACAACCACTGCAGACTCGTTCAAAATCACTTTGCTGTTTACAAGGCCAATTCAGAAGAAAACGAAGAATGTCATAATTGGTTTACCTCTATTTGGGAATACCATTTTGAAGGGAAACCCAGACGACACCTTTAAAATAACTATCTGTTCATAAAACAGCGACGCATGCGCACGTGTGATTGTTAAAAGAGTATATTTATTGGAGTTCTTCGATGAAGACAGCATATGCATATATAGGCGCATATATACTCTCATGAAACATACGGACATTTAATTTCTTCAGCTTGTCATTTTATTGGAAAGCATTAACAATTCTAGATGCCTAGCTAGGCGCGCACTTAACAACCTGATTGGGCTGAGACGCTGTTGGCGAGTGTGTAAAAATAGCAATCGCTTGAAGAGTGAATTTGTATCAAACACACGGTCCGCAGAACAATAACTGACGTACAGATAGAAGTAGCAAGATAAAGTATTAATTGTGTATGCGAAGAAGATGAAACAGATTTCGCGAAAATAAAACAAAAGAAAACACAAAAATTATTGACTTCGCTTAAAAGCGTGGCTTGTAGTCTTCCATATACACATAGATACATACTTAGGCTAAAGTATATGCTCATGAGCGGTAGATAAGCAGAGAGTACGCTTGTATATCAACAATCAACAAGTTTTGCCTCGGCCAAAACAACTGCTGCTGATGCGCAAAGCAAAATTTAAAGAATTTTGGCCTTAACCTGTCTTCATTAAAAGCCACTTTGTGTGCTCGTGTCCGCGCTCAAGAATTCTGCACTTTAGCGAATATGATTATGTTCTAGCTGGGTACAACTTCTGCGGTTTAAGTAGTTAAATAAGGAAATGCATATCGGCAGTACCAAATCGGCAGGCGAGAGCATAACACATTGAGACCAAGGCAGCGTTTGTGAAAGCGAAAAACGAGTGTTTCAGTGAAGTAGTGGCAGAACTAGAATTTTTAAAAATCACTTTTTTTATAAAATAAAAATTTTAAGTAATATAATCATGTCGAAATTTGGTCTTATGCTGCTCTTACTCGGCACAATGGCGGTGCTGTGGCAACAGACTGAGGCCAAACCATTATTCTTGTTGTCGAAAAATTTCTTCGCCTTAACCACTAGAGGTGAGTGAAGATTGAATACTTAATGAATTAAACGGCTTGTTTTGAATGAAATTCTTGCACGCAAAGCTCTTTAGAAAACGAGGACTTAACTCGAATATGTTCACAGAGGGACTCATTCATTTTTCATATTCAAAAACAATAAGAAGATGAAAACTACTAAATGAAAATATTCTAATAGAAAAAAGCCGATAAAAGTTGGAAATTATTTGCACTAAGAGCACTAAAATAGTAAACTAAGAGACGAGAGTGAGCTTATGGTATATCAGACCTAATCTGTAGGAACGTAAAACAACCGTAATCTCTAGCGCTCGAGCGCCTCCTTCTTGAACCAACCCTCAATCAACGAACCAATCAAAATCTCTTATTATATTTTCAGCACCTTCAACCGGGAGTGGCTCTTCTTACTCATCATCTTCCTCCTCCGCTTCGCTAAGCTCATCAGCAACTGGTGGCCTCTTTCAACTGCCTGTTGGCATCATAAGTCGCAAATTGGGTTTGTTCACCGGTCTACTTTCCGGCTTTGGCGGTGGTGGTGGTGGCAGCATTGGTGGCGGTTTCGGACTCGGCTTCAAGTCCAATGTGGCCACGACGACACGCAGACCAAAGAAAACCACCAAGAGCACAACCGAACCAAACACTGTCTTTACACCGGAAACAAGCACAAAAGCGTATACAACAACAACAACTACCACTACTGCACCTGAGCAACTTGTGAGCACAACAACTGAGATCACAATCGATGTCAAACCAACAGTGGTCGCACAGCGCCCAGCTGTCATTGAACCGACGGAAGAGAGCGAGAGTGGAGTAGCTAGCAGCAATAATGTTAATAGCGGATTCGAAGTCATTTATGCCAATACCAATAATGGTGATCAGAGTGGCTCTTTCGATGCTGCTTCAGCTGTTGGTGCCAGTGGTAGCAATGTTGCCAGCAGTTCAAATAGTGGATTTGAAGTTATTTACTCCAACTCAGGTACCGGTGGTTTTGAAGCTACTGGTGGAGTCAGAGGTTCTGGTGCATCTGGAATCTCTGGTACTGTTGGGAGTGAAGTCGGAAGTTCTGGTAGTGTCGGCGGTTCTAACGCATTTGGAGTTTCTGGCGGAGGTGGAAGTGCAAGTTTAAGTGCTGGTGCTGGCGTTACAAGCACACATCCCTCGAAAAGTGGCTACAACTACAATAAACCAGAAGATACACGTGTGAATGAGATTTTCGGCGGAAATCTAAGTAACACCTACTTGCCAGTATACAGGTACAGATAGAGGAAGCGCCATGGAATTGAACTTAGTGACACCGAAAACTTCTAATTTAGTATTTAGCTCTATAAGTGTGTGTTATACAAACAATTTGTTAAAAATTTTAAATATTTTATATTTTTTCATCGTAAATAAAAAACTAAAACATTGAGGAAATAATTAGCCACTTACTTTACGCGTATTCATTAACACTCGTATGGGTAAGCGCAACTTGCAGCTTTTAGCGGAAGCATTAAATGCTTATTGCGTAATCTCGTCTTAACTGGATGGCGTAGCTGCCGAAAACAGGTAAGCGCTTCCACCCAAAATTATATACAATTCCGCTAAGCGCCTGTAGAATTCCGTACCAATTATTTGCATTCTAGCCAATCTCGTATTTCCTTTTGTGCTGTGGCTTTCTGGCATTATTATTATTATTTTTTTTTTTTGTTTTTCTTTTGCCTTTTGCACATTTTATCTGCTAGCTTTAAAGTATTAAATGTGATTTAGCTAACATAAATGTTTATATGTATTTGTGTGTGCCGTGTAGGTGTCTGACAAAACGTCGTGCTTTGACTTTATGCTTCAGCTCATAGCACAAAGAAACTAAACTAATAGCTATTAAAAATAATTTTAAATATTTTATGAATCACAACTTTTGTTTAGAAATGCAGCACAAAAAGAGTAGGAATCGATATTAAAATTTTAATGCTTTGATTAATGGCTATTAAAGCGAATATTATAGTCAAAAGTTTATTTCAACACAACCGAGTTTGTATGCATGTATGTATGTATGTATAAACGCTAGTGATTAAACCCCATGTTGACATTCTGTTTGACTTTTTTAAGCAATAAAAGTTTATTAAGTATTTAAATATATAAAATATTTAACGAACCAACATATTTGTTGGTGATATATATTTCGGAGACTCGTGTAGCTTTCATTCAACTCTGACTAATAACTTCATAAATAAGCAAACTAGACATAGAAAGGATAGAATATACATACATATATATATCAAAATAAGAAAAACTGTTAGCTTCAGCGGCACCGAAACTAATATATCCTTCTCACTTACACTTCTTATAGCACAAGGCGTGTAAAAAAATCTGTATCTTGATTTTGACTTGTATGCAGCTAATGCTATAGTGGTCCGATCTGAACAATTTATTCGGATATTGTAGCGTTGCCTTAAACAATAATGCATTTCAAATTTAGTGAAGATTTATTTTTAATTGAAAAAAATTCCATACAAGGACTTGTTTTTGATCAATTGGATTTTATATATCTCAAAACAGAGAGACTATTTCGAGTATATACAGACAGACATTTGGACATCGCTTAATCGACTCAGCTCATCACGCTGATCATTTATAAATGTCCTATCCTATATACTGATATATGACATTACCTGCTTTGTGTTATGACTACTGAGCAAGCTTAATATACCATCTGATCAAATTTAACCTAGTCCATATAAATTGAAAGCGTAAACAGAATCGACAAAAAATGTTTATTGGATTGGTACAATCTTTTTGTGTTTGTGTGTAATTTCGTCGAAATATGTGTCTCGTAATTTTTAAAATGAAAAAAAATAACCTACGACTCTGTTCGCAATTTCCATTGGAAACACGGTCACGGAGTCATTGAAAATGTAGCAGAAATGTTTTGGGGAGTATATTTTATGATGAACACAAATATTTTAGTCGCACAAAACAATCAATGAAGGTCGTGATCTCACCTCTCTTACTGACGATAACACCAAAAAAGTTAAAGTAACAGTGCTTGAAATCATCGTCATCGTGTTGACATCAGATAGAAATTTTCGCAGAAGATCTCAATATCTCTTATGGATCAACTTAACACATGTTGGCTAAACTCATACTAAAAGACCAGAATCTTTTGGGAAAACGACTTCGAGTAGAAGTCTCAAAAGAGATGATAAACAACGTAGCTCAATACCTTATATTCATCAAACGCATCAATCCTGATGACGGGGTGTGGGTTTATGAGCATGACAATCTTGCCACCAAACTAGACCAATCCAGTGAATGGCGCTCCATAAATGAGCCGAAAACGAAAAACCAAAATTCGGTAAAGGCACTGGAGGCCATCCCAGACGAGGCTCATCTGAGGTATGTACATAAAAGTACAAGTGTGTGTAAAATTTAATTGAGCGTTGGCACTAGTTGTTTAACTTTATAAGGGTTATCTCAGTGAAGTTTTGTGGATTTATAGCTCAAGCATCAACAAAGTTATCGAATGTTCTTAATATATGGCATTATGTTCCAAAAATTATTTTATTTTAATTTTTCAAATTATTTCCGTCCCACCGGCTATTGTTGTTAAATGAGTTTAAAAAAATGAGATGAGCCTAAAATCGAATTCGATTCATACCTTCCTTCCAGGTTCTCTAACCATAATATTACATATTCGACTTATAACATTACCTAGTTACTGTCACAGATTTCCGGACCCATGTTTTCAGAAAAATTTGTAAACATTTCTCGACATGTATCTGTTCCTTTGGTTCGCAAAAATATTTAATTTCCGGTTTCGATCGTACTTGCCTCTTCCTATTTTTTTGTTCATATACAACAATTACTCTGCTGTTACTACCTTACTATTATTATTTTTTTTACAGGTAAACTACCTTCATTTTCAAAACACCCACATATAAAAACAGAACTGTATGGGTCTTCGAATCGGTTCATATGGTCGAAAAAAAATGATCAGGGCCTATTAAGCTTGCCACAAACTTTGTAACACACAGAGGGAACACACAGAAGATGGATCAAATCCAAGTTCTTGCATGTAAAATATGTTTATTTACGAAGCCATATTCATGAAATGTAATCATTTATTGTCCAAGGCAGCGCAGCAATCTCCGAACAAATGGCAGCTATAGCAAATAGCTGCCGATCAAATCATTCATTCTCCTAACCTTGAAATAATAAATATTTAGGTCTAACTAGTTTTCCATTCTGGCTAATTCAACTTTTTAAACACCTAAAAATATACAAAACTATTAACTCATCCACATTTTAACATCGCTTATAATTTTTCAAACAGATTGATGTCTTGGCTTCTTTCCTATGCAAGTTTCAAGCTTATGAAAGGTGTTAATAGCAAAACCTGTAGCTGAACGACTATTTTTATAGATCCAATTATAGTGGTGTTATTGATTAGCACACCTATTATTTGTGTCAAGAGGAAAAGTTGGTACCAAAATTTTAGCTATACGAAGATGAGAATCTATAACTTAGAAGGAATAGATTTGTTTATAGATAACTATGTATGGGCATATGTACGCACACTCTCAGCTATATTGGTTTCTAGTTTTATTGAATGACCTTATTATTAAATTACTTGATTTAATATTTATTTAATAATAACGAAACATAAATTTAGTTATCTGAATTTTTTATACTAATATTATGTATATACTTTGATTTGGTTTCTGTCAATAACGAAACAAACATCAAATTTAGTTTATATTTTTAGTTTTATCTCAAAATCTACAAAACTTTTCAAATAAATTACTCGTTAATCTAAAGACGAAAAGAATACTAAAATAGGCTAATTATATGTAAAAAAAAGAAATAATTCTCATAGTTAATTTTGTTTTAATTAATTTTTTTTTTTAATTTTTCAAAAAGTTTAGCGAAATCAACATCTTACATACAAATTATCTGCAAAAGAAAAAATGCTACTGCAACCGTCAAAAGACCCCAAAAATGTATATAAAGCAAAGTAAATAAACACAAAAATTCCGTATGCAATGCACGCAATGAGTTGTTGATGAGTTCATCATCAAGTTCTTGTACACGGAAAGGGTTTTCACTTGCAGCAAGTAATAAACAAAATACAATTTACCAAACAACAACAATGACTAAAATGAATGGACAGATGCAAAGGAATGCTTTTGTATAAGAACTCAAGAAAGGAAGGCGAAACGAAAAGGAAATTGAGCTGAGCGAAGAACTTCGAATGATGAGAGGATGATGCAACATGTTACAACAGGGTGAAAAACGAGCAATGCAGAAATTAGTATACGAGTATACTTATGTATTACCTTAGGTTCAGACAACGACTTAGCATACTTGGTTAAAGACATTTAAGAGCAATACTACGATCGATATATCTTTACACGTAGATAAGCACTTTTCGGATTCATTATGGGCTTATTGCCACAGAGAACATCAGTGAACCCATTAGTAGTCAGATAGCGCAACATTAATTAATTGTAAATACAAATTTTAAACTATGGTCAGAGTAATAGGTATAAGGTTTCGTGATTGCATTTTTTTGTATTAAATGTTATGTACCTCAGAAACAAAGCAATGTAAACTCAAAGAGCGCTCAGAAGATTGGCATGAGATTAAACAGGAAAGGAAGAGCAGCGATTAAACCTGGATGTTTCTAAATGAGTTCAACAAGAACATTCATCGACCAAAAAGAAAACATTCCAATATAAAGTCCACAAAAGCCATGGAAGTGGTAGGTCTGCCCAGTAGTACTACTTTCGATGGCAAAATTTGGCCCGATAAATAAAGTAATCAAATTATGAATATAGTCAGAATTGAAGATGATAATGATACTATATAGCAAGGATACTAATAATACTAATCTAGTAAAGGTTTGTAACTACTTTGGATCAACTTAGTGTAGATCAACCTATCCCATCAAAAAAAAGGTCAATATATCCAAGTACACCCAACTTAATATTTAAGAACCTTAATACCAGGTTTCTGCAGATATTATATGTGAAGACCTGTACGAACGACTAAGGGTGTTTTGTGAAGTAGACCAAATCCCCTTTTCACTGAAGTATACAAGTACTTGTATATTTGTTTTTAGAATTCCCTACTAATAGAGGTTCCTAAATAAATTACAATAACTTACTTGATGGCCTTACGTAACTGACTGGCAACTGTAACTGGTTACTTACATAATACTAACAACGCAAGTTATTTTAATTCAATAATTCAATGAATATTTTAGAGCTAATAAACGTGGTAAGTTTTTTCAATTTTTTGTTTGTGCGTAAACCAACAAACAAATTCATGCTAAAATTCAAATTATTCTTTAAGTAATTAAAAGTTGCGTTTGCGGCTTCGCTGTTGAACACAAACAAAAAAAAAACATAAAAAGAAACACTCTCATAAATTATATA